TAAATTTACAGTAACTTACTGGCAATTTTGGTTGCCAGTAAGACTGTATATATAAAAAACACAGGCAGTTGTGTACCTCCATGCTCCCGTAGGTTTGTTCAGGATGGTCCGAGAGGGCGATAAGCGTGGTGCTGTCCTCCACTAAATTCTTCTTCCTTTTCATCATTACCCCAAAACAGCCAGTTTACCTCTGTGTTTTCTGACCGCCAATCTGAGAATCCTCTGCCCCTCTTTAAAACATGGTGCAATGATACAGTTATTATTTTGTAATAAAGAACCAAAAATACAAAATCTGGCATGTACAATATCGGTAAAAAGTTTGGAATAATCACATTTTTTCAATGTCTTCTCTTCTGCTGACCAAAGCTGCAGTTATGTGATAAAAAATACAGTACATGAAATAAAATTCTGAAATAAACGATAACATAAAATAACGGTAACACTTTACAGTAAGGTTCCATTATTAACTAACATGAACAAACAAAGAACAATACATTTATTACAATATTTGTTAATGTTAGTTAATGACAATGAACCTATTGTAAAGTGTTATCAAAATAACTGTTTTCAATTTTAATGTATTTTAAAATGTAATTTATTGCTGTGATCAAAGCTAAATTTTCGGCATCATTACTCCAGTCTTCAGTGTCACATGATCTTCAGAAATCATTCTAATATGCTGATTTGCCGCTCAAGAAACATTTCTGATTATTATCAATGTTGAAAACAGTTGTGCTGCTTCATATTTGTGTGGAAACCATAATACTTTTTTTTTCATGATTCTTTGATGAATAGAAAGTTCAAAAGAGCAGCATTTATTTGAAATAGAAATATTGTGTAGCATTATAAATGTTTTACTGTCCCTTTTTTTATGTCCCTACTGAATAAAAATACTGATATATATAAATCATATATATATATATATATATATATATATATAAACTTACTTAGCCCACACTTTTGAGTGGGAGTGTATCACGGTTTCTAATAATCAGAAATATTTCTGAAGAATCATGTGACACTGAAGACTGGAGTAATGATGCTGAAAATACAGCTGCGCATCACAGAAATAAATTACAGTTTAACAGATATTCACATAGA